AACGTGCTGCACGTCAAGTCAATGCTGGAACATCCATCTGAAATTTTCAGCCAAAACATTAGCCACCACACAAAGTGGTTTTGGGCGGATGTAGTCAAATCGGAGTCTGGCTTGTAGGCGCACGTATTACAGCTTTCTCATCACGGTGTCTGCCGTACAATTTATATGAGTGATTCCTGGTGCCAGCAACCTAGTCTCCAACAGTTTAGGAGACCACGTGAGGCAATGTAATGTTGGTGTATCTTGCTTGTGCGGAAAGGTCAAGACTTCTTTAGCACTTCGAGTTAGAGCATCCTCTATTGCAAGGGGGTAATTCACTTTTCCCCTTGCAGAGACTATTCACTTGCTTATACAGAAGCCAAGGATTTAAAGTTAATCGCTCGGCTAAGGCATGCTAATTTTCCTTCGCGCACTAATTTGGTACAGCAGGTACGCTGTATAACATAGGCCTTCTAGGTCCTCGGACTCGGATGGGTGTGGGGGTATACCAATCCGCGTTGCACATTATCATGTATTTGTGTGTCCTACTCCGTATAAACTACGTTTGTTTCTCCAAATGATAGTTTTGGTTTCCGATGCTCCACTAACCAAGGTGCTTAACTTACTGACGAAACATTCACAGACAATGTCCGGTTCATTTTCGGGTAGAAAAATCAATTCGGTCGCCACAACTAGCCGGGTTAAGATGTTTTATCTGTTCAGGTGTGCGACATCTGACTTCTGTCCTCGAGGTAGTCGGTAAAGCAAGCTTACAGAGAATTAAAAGTCGTGTGATCTCTGCGGCCTATAAGCGTATGGGTTGTCACTCTATCGACAAACAGTTCCTCTTTATTAAATATTGGGTCTAATATGGAAGGCCTGTTATTTCCACTGAATCTGTTGGGCGAGGTGACATGGCCATAAAGCGGAAAACCTGACACAAGATTTTGCAATTCTGCTTTTACTTCCTCTCCTGCAGCGGCCTGGGATTCTCAAGCATGTAAGTTAACATCTCCGGCGACTAGCAGGCGACCGTACATCCTGTTTATCACCTGCATCAACGCAGCCACCAAGTTGCCGTTAATCTCAGGTGTAGTTGATGGTGGGCGGTAAACAACAACCACTCGACCAAGGTCGTTCCCTCCTAGCCGTAAGCTACACTAACTGGAGTCAAGTTCATAGGTTTCTGGGTCCTGAATGGGTTTGCACTGCAGGTTGTAAGGACATTATTGGCCTACTCCACCATCTTTACTGCCTCGATCAATCCGGATGAAGGACATAACGGTTCGCGCGATTTCAACATCCATTATCTCATTTCGCAACCATGTTTTCTTGATAAGGTTGAGGTCTCAGGCTGCTGACGCGTGTCGCAGCCGTAGTTTAGCTAATTTACTGAGTAGAGCTTGGGCTTTTGTCTACCCACATGAGGGATTCTTGTATACCCATAACTGTTGCATGTGATGGATGAAGCAAGTGAGTTTACGCCAGCCGGTGAGAAGACAGCGATTAAACGATTTTGGCTGGGTTGCAGCCTCTAGATAGAAATTTGGTAGATATTCCTGTATCAGGTTTATAGGACCCCGCAGATCGCCCGTGCCCTGCTGTATCTCTTTGGGGGTCATGGCTACTGCTGAAACCGATAAAGAGTCAGGTCCTACACTTGGTGTTGCTATTGAGATTTACGCCCCTACTGGGTTGTCATTAGAAAGTCGTTGGGTTCCTTCTGGTTTCAGAAGTGTTTCCTTTGGCAATCCGCTAAGGAATTGAGTCAAAACCTCTAAAAGAGTTTGTGCCGTTTTTTCTGAATCTAACACCAGCTTAAATAACCTAGGACAACACATCTTGTAGTTCAGTTGTACGTGTTATTATTGTCAAGGAGATGGCCAAGACATAGTTGAAAGAAAGTGCCTCACGGATGTAGAGCCATTGTTGGTGGTCCTCTAACTGAACATCATCATCAGAAGAAGCTGTAAGCGCAAGGGCACCAATTGCAATCGCATTTCGCTTAACTTGACTTTTGATTTTGCTTTCTCTGTTGGTGGGATTCCTTGAACTTTCATTCCACGGGATTTTAGGTAGTATGGGCACGCCACTAAAGTGGTTGCAAAGTCGAGTAGCAGACAACAAAACGGCTTCAGTCTCATCCACCGAGTTTAATGTTACTTGAAGTAACCGAGGTTCGCCATAGTGCAATGCATTTGGGTGGCACGAGATGAGTTTTTGTTCCGTAGGATCAGCATGGAGATTGATCGCTCTACAGACGAAACTTCATTGATTTCCGTCGTCTATTAGCCTACACGTAATTGTATTGTATTTGGAATCGGGGACTTTGAAGACACAAGATTTAATGCACCATTGTTGCGCCTGGTGGCGAATGGTTTTTCAGCCTTATTTTCCCGCACATTTGGTGAATTTCAGCACGGCAAAGCTGTTAGCCATCTATGCTACGATACCACAGTTTTCTCTAGTCCGGCCACCAAGGTTACCCGTGCACTTTCCTGTGTAGGTTTGGCGCAACAGATGAGTAGGTTACCTGGTTCCTCACTATGACCGGTTGACTGCAGCTTAGGGTCCCTGTATTGAGAACGTACTAAGTGTAACACGTTGTAGAGAAGTTTAGGCAAGCGCGCTGCAGGCAGTGTTTTTATTTATGTGAGAGGAAGAATGGAGTTGGTACTGGTGGCGACTGAGACGTTGGGGTATGTTGGATATGCTTGGCTCTTACGTTGGCCTAAATGGAAAATTTCGATTGTTTATTCATCTATAAGTGTAGGTCCATTTCCGCCCATTGGTGTAAAATTGACGCTTACCATTTGCTCGACTGTTGCTGTTGGTCTTTCACACATCTTCCGTAGCGCAGAGACAGATTATAAATAGTATGGTAATGGCATGTCATGGGGACACATTTCTTTCTTTGTACTAACAACATCAAGATACGGCTAGGGTTCGGTAGTAAGGAAGATTACGGGCTGTCGCAATTGTAATTAGCTTGTGCTTTTTATAGAAAAAGGCAATTCTAATTCCGTTCAAAGTGGAGAAGTGTAATATTGCTCATGTAGACTAATAGAACAATACTGCAAACATTGTTTGAGCCCACATGTTGGAAACCCCCTCACAGGCCTGCTAACTTGGGGTAAGGGTGCAGGAAGCCTCAGCTGTTCGACGCAACCATTACCAAACCCCAACGTCGTGAACCAAATGTTGGTCTCTTACCGAGGGCGTTCCGGCTGTTCCAGCTCTCCATCTTCCCCACAACACCCAATGCGTATGTGAGGCCTCATGTAGAGTAAGTGATTCAGACCAGGAAACCATTGTTAAAAGGCGATCTGGTTGCACTGAAGACCCAACAGCGAAAGGCAACCAAAAATGCGAAGAAATGGTTCTAGCTTTCATACCTTCTACGACTACAAGCTCGGGGCATTTACAACGAATTTATCTAAGTCTGCGGATCGAATTGATTCTGGCGAACGAAATCTTGAAAAACCCAGATCAGGCATTCGGTTGCCTCCTCAAACTCAGCTGCAACATAAAATGGTGAGGTTAACAGTTGGAACTGGCTACGAAAGCAGTCGGTTAGGAATGCCGCCGTATTATTAATTTCTTCGAATTTGTCAGCCTCGGAACGTTCATTTTACCTGCCTCAGTTTTGCGGTCGAGGCCATCATTTAAATAGAAACGACGACTCTGCAGTACACCAACTGCACCACATGATTTGGTTTTTCCGTAGCGAAGTGACGCATGAAAACATTCCGTACGACGGCCCATTTAAAATATTAGAAGACTTATCCACTTGCATGTTAACTTGGTAACATGGTGCGTCCGCAGTTGCGGGTTTCACTTCAGTGTAAATGTTGGCTGAACTCAAGTGTTTCCCGCATACGCTCTGACTGGACCTATCAATAAGTGGCTTTTATTCCGTATTATCCGATCGTTCCATTGTCTCGCGTATTCTTCCATCTTGAAGGCGACAGATGTAGCGAAAATTAAACCCGCTACAGATAGATAGTACGAGGAATATACTTAAGAACTTTACTTCACGCTACCATGTTAAATGGTTCACCAATCCAAGCTGTCCGAAATTCAGTTGATCAAACCTAGCTTAATTAAGCAATCAGAACGGATGAGATATTCTATCAACAGTTGCTAGTTTGCCACATTTCTACAAGCCGAATAGCTTAACTTAAGCGCAGCAAATTTACATCTTGCCAGTGGGTCAAATCAAGTTCATGAGGAGATAAACCATAGCCACACATGTAATTGATGCGTGAGCATGTTTAAAGTGAGCAGTCCGTAACTATTTTCTGTTGGAAGCGGTACTTGAACCGAACTTTATTTAATGACCACTGTAGTGATTTTGATTTCTCGATGCTCTAACGTTCAATTTCACATGCAACTTCATCTCTATGCATCAAGTTCTCACATACTATGTTGATGAATTTGTGGACGGTCCCCATCAAATTTCACAATTCCCACACGCATCTTTTAAATCGCTGCCTTCATAGAGCTGATTGAAAGTCAAGATTGTAACTTTCAAGCTCTCACATGGTATGGGATGTTTAAGTCTACTACAGTCTTCCGACAACATCTCAGAAATACACACGCTTTTGAGTTGGAGGCTTTGTTCATAAACCGTGGATGCATGATTGATGGACCGACACGGTCAACTGAAAGTGATTCCACTCACACAAGTTGAATATATAAACGATAGCTTGAAGCGTAGACCCTTTTGTTAAAATCTAGAATGCTCATTGCTTCGCTTCAGTGCTACATGCTGATCGTACTGTTCGGTCACAGTCTGGTGAATATTTGTAAGTTTCCCTAAACACCTGCAGTTCTCCTACTCCACTTCATCGCATCTAGTGACCGTGATTGTGATTGGTGCATTTCAGGTGCAGTTAGCGGCAATGCAGCTCCTGAGAACCTACCAGAAGGACACCGGTGTATTCAACTCTGTCGATCTTTGGTGAGGCAGAAACCGCTTCAAACAGGTCGAAGAATATGAGTGCATTTATGATCACCGGTTAATGAATGTTAACTGTAGCTATTTCGATTAATGCTTCCTCTTCACTGCGAGCTTCCACTAACGTGTCGTGTTGCAGCCTACGGGCTTTTCTGCTCCCTTCCAAATTAATTTCTGTTGTACCTGATTAACAGGGTGTAAAACAAATAATAGTGTTTCATTTTGAACCATGTATTGTGAATATACAATGAACATGAAAGTTGACAGCGTGTGCTTGAATATGCCGGCCCTATTTGTGTGTGTAGTTCCACGAAAATGAGCAATGTCAAAACATTGCCACAATTGAATGAGGTCAAGGTTGTCAGCAACTTGCAGTCGTCGGACGCTAAACACACCACCAAGAACTCATGAGTGGGGGCTTTGTAATGTTATCAAGCGAGGTCATTCGCAGCCAGTTTCCAAGTCAGATAGTCGTGCACATGCCCGGAAAAGCACTAGGCTGCAGTTTCAGCCTGTTGGGCATCGTCAGTATTGCGCATCCATCAGGATTCGAGCACATGACCACCAGCGGCCTGCACAGCCAATCAGCAGGTAATGCCATTAGGACACGGGGACAGCTTCGGACTGTCATGAGTACATCAAAATATACCTGTTTTGACAGTCTCCAAACGCTATGTTGTACATATCTACTGTTAGTAGACGTCGTGTCTTTCGGAGACAAGCCTGTCCTCCGCAACGTTCCTAACTTGCATGGCAGTGGAGGATAAGTAACGCTTTATCGCAGTTCAGATGTAAATCATGACCGTCCAAAGCTGTCCCCCTTGGGGCAGTGGCAGAAGCTGCTGACTGGCGGTGCAAGCCGCTGGTGGTCATGGGTTCGAATACTGAAGGATCCGATAGATGCGCAATACTGACGATGCCCAAAAGGCTGAACATGCAGTCTAGTGCTTTTTCGGGCATGTGAATGACTATGTGCTTTGGAAACTGGCTGCGAAGAACCCCACTTAATTACACCACCAAGAAATTTACCGAAGGCAAGCGTAAGTTCTTGTGTGGCCATCCGTAGACAAACACAATTCTGGACAACATCAAAAAGATACTTGTACTGAAAACCATCGTCTTCAGTGAATCCAATCTTACAACGCATATCATCTGCATCTAAACGTCGGACCCACCCTTCGTGTCGCAAAGCTTGGGAAGGAAATCGTCTTGAACCACGATTACAAGAACACATTTTTAGCAGCATTATACATTGTGGACGGCTTAGTCGAACAGCTACAGAGTACTTCTCATGTTACAGTAGAATCTTGGCTGCTGGTAGCTGAATCCTTGTTCTGTAACTGCACGATAACTGAAATGGACTTGTCTCGATGTAGGTGGAAGGTGATTTCCTCTTTGCAGTAATATAAGGTGGCTCTCCTCATGATTCACCTTAAGTATGACAACTAACTTCTTTGCCTCATTTACGGCGGCTTCAGCTTTTCCGTTCGATTGGCTCAAGTATGGACTAAGAAGTCAGTGCAGCAAAACGTAATTTGCACCGAAAAAGCGAAAATTTTCGCCATTAAACTGCTATCCGTTTTTCAGTGAACACCACATCAGGTGTACTATGGCGAGAGAATTGCTACAGTAACTTGTGTATAACAGCCTCGTACTGGTTGCACTAAGAGCATCAATTTCAAAGCAGCCCACAATGTAATCCTTCATTATCAGATAATGGTTTCCTTCGAAGATACTTAGTATCAAAGCGACTAGTTTATAGTAATCTTCAGGATTTGGGGAGCTTAATCGGTGCTTAAGTCGAGAACTACACATTTTGACAGCATTTAGCATCAAATCGAAAATCACCTTCTAGATAGCAAATTTACACAATCACTAGTTAATGTATCCAACTAAATGCACATGATTCATGATAGAGTTGATAAATTCAGACTATCCACCAGCTCCGCCATCGAGAAATGCGACATATTATACGGTAATATGAGAAAGGGCACCACCATTGCTCTGGAATACGTAGAGTAGTCTTTGATTAAACATATGATTGGTAAACGTTCTGATATAAATAACGAAGAGTGTTGCAGCGAACTTCACGTCGAACAACTCAGGATTCGACTACTGAAGCAAATTGAGAAATAATTCTAGGGGACGCCATCCGAAACAGAAAGTAGCGAACAAGCTTGTTTTCAGGGCTTCATCATCAGGCTAATACAACCACAATAAAGCAAGCTAGAATAGACACAATGGGTTTAAATGCGATCACTGAAGCAGAGTATCTAATCGATAAGTCTACGTGCTTGATCTGGTTGAGGCGTGGTCAGGTGAAGTGGCGGGATTGCCATTGTTAATCGCGTTGGTCTGAGGCCAAGGGCAGGATTAAAGTATGGGTGAGTTTTGTCTGTACACATAGGTCTGGGTTATAGAGTCGAATTGTGATCGACTCTGCTGCCGACAGCAGGCGACACCTGACTGCCCCTGTGTAACTTCCCGGGACACATTAGATCGGTGTGAATGCGTCACGAGAATCGATTTGATGATCGGAGTCAACTAGGTGCGACAATACTGCACTCCTTACGACCTGTCTTCCACTGCCACGCAGGTTACTACCTTAGCAGATGACGTGGCTAGCCTCCGAAGGTCATAACTACTTCTCACTAGACGCTACATACACGGCATTTGAAAATAGGAGAGGCCCCATTTTATATTAATAATGAGTAGGAGCATTTTCTTACTGTAATGTTTTCGTTCCAGCTGCTCACAAGCTACATAGCACAGCCTAATCCGGAAAACCACCAGATGCGTTTCGCCTTATTGAGGCACGTCAGCAGTGCGCATCCCCTCGGTCACCTACTAGGGATCCAACCCATGACCACTAGAGGCAGATGCTAAATAGCCAGCAGCTTAAGCCACGGAGCTATGGGAGAAGTCGGCTGTGCTACCCAATTTGTAAATTAATTGGGATATAGCACGAAATAATCTCCACTGTCTAACAGGGTGACATTGGTGAGCCTCCGAAGATCATGACTTCCTCTCACTAGATTCTATATCCATGGCATTTGAAACTAGTTTCAAAATTACGATGTGTCTAGCATTGAGAAGGTTGCACGTAAGGGTAGGCTTTGTTCGCCCAACTCAGTCACTGCTCAGTTGAATCAGTTGACGACTGGTAAGAGTAAAGTAAATTATTTGGATGCGGCTGATGTGCAACACTGGCGAGTCCTAATAAAACGGAGTGGCTGTCTGGCGTGTTCCTGAATGTATGCGGGTTTCTGACCGAGTATATCGAGGACCCATCCACTCGAGAAGAACTGAGGAGATTATCTCCTCTTGGAAGAACCCAAGCTTCGGTCGTAACAGGATGCTTGGAGGCTTAAGAGTCATTGTTGAACCACAGTTAGCAAATTGTCAGTCGTCTCAGGCTGAATTCCAAGGTGTATTGTGAGGCAGAATTATCAAGCAATAGCAACTTTGCCTCCAGACAATTAAGGCAAGGGACTGCAGGTGTAAGAGCGAAAATGTTTGGGATGACAACAGAAAAGTACAAGGCCATCACGTTATGCACACCTATGCACCGAGCAACCGCTAGGTAGACGCAAGCTCGCATCATAATGAAGCGTTTGCAAACCGTTTCTGAGGATGTAAGAATAACGTCAATGCAACGGATGGACTAGGCCAACTGCTAAACAGGAGAGAAATATTTCATTCACAGTGGATGTATGGTGGGTACAGGAAAGTTTATAGTAGTAAGGCGAAGTGAGGAAAACTGTAACAAAACACAGGGCAAGTCAAACTACCCAAGATTCGGTAGTGGAACCAGTGATCTTTTATTTGTTTCCAAAAGGTAACTGAACCCAGTAGATGTTTCCCCCGAATGAACACTTCTGAGCCCACCGGTCTATCCTTTAATCTGACTCCAAACACATGGATGAACTGCAAATCATGAGCATTAGCAAAGTGCGACCAGAAGGAAAGAAGATGTATCCCTGCGTAGACTACTGGCAAATTGGTTGTGGCGCAATCGTACGAATAGGACTGTGTACATTCCGACAACACCAAGTGTGATGGAAACAGCGCTACACACCCTTTTTTGTTGGAGGCTTTATTCATGAATCCTGGATGCGTGATTGATGGACAGACACGGCCAACTGAAAGTGATTCTGCTCACACAAGTTCAATATATAAACGATAGCTTGAAGCGTGGATGTAGGCTATCCAGTGCTTATCAGGAAACCGGTGACAGTCTGACGGATTCTAGTTATAATGCTTCCTAACTGTCATATTTAATATGTCAACTATGCCATGTGTCGACGTCGATGTGCCATCTACACTGATGTTGCTGCAGCGACACCCACCATCACATTTTCAATGCACATCCTCAGTGAGGTTTAAGGATTGAACAGCATAATTGTATTGAATTCGATATCAAATCTCATATAAAAAGCATGCTAGCTGAATGCATTTACAAGTAGCCATTTCCAAAGCGATCATTATGCCATCAATATTTCTTCCTGCAGAACATCGTGGTTCCTGCATTGCGCTTTAATGAATGTTCCATCTGGTGTGTGGCGTCAATGAGTGCACAGCAGTGCTTTAATTCGATTGGCGTTGGAGAAATGTGCATTTGTATTGAAATTTACACCCCTTCCGAGAATGTTTTCACACATACACATAATGTGCCCTGGTTCATTTTCGTTTCCTTGAGCTAAATATATTTGTCAACTAGTTAAATAGATTTGCAGCAATTATTCGATACTTATGTGACACAGCATCTGAGGATCTATGCAACTGTTCCGCAACCATTCAAACAGGTCAATTGTTGTAGGATAAGGTTGCATAACGGCACAGCAAACAAATTCCGTAGCATGTTCAACATGTTGACTCATAAAGAAGGAAAACCTGGTTTCTTAAGACGCGGTTCTCCAGCTCACCGTAAACTCCACAGGAAAGAAGAAACGGAGTCGTCAGTTGCGCATTCGACTACTAATTAACTGCCTGACGCAGAGTGTCTGCGATAAGTATTCGTCCAAATTTTATGTCTCCACAACTGGATTCATGGTGTCCAAACCGAAGTTCGTCAATTTGTGATAAATATATTTCCGTTTCATCCAAATCCCTATTCATCACATGGTAACAAGCAACATTTTGGCAGAATGGTCACTGGAAATTCTGGGCTGAAAGCAGTTTTG